TCCTTCAAGGTGACAACATCAAGCACACTGAAGTCAAGAAAAAGATTAGAGGTGAATACATCAAGAGAGTGAAGAAGATCTTAAAGTCCAAACTCAATGGAGGAAATACCATAAAGGCAATCAACACCTGGGCAATCCCAGTCATTAGGTACACAGCTGGAATAGTGGACTGGACTCAAGCAGAACTAAAAGCAATGGATAGGAAGACCAGAAAAATAATGACAATGAATCATGCCCTTCATCCACGCAGTGACATTGACAGACTTTATCTACCAAGGCAAATAGGTGGGCGTGGAATGCTACAAGTACATCAGATGGTTGAAGAAGAAAAAATGGCTTTGGAAGAATATCTGAAGAACAATGATGAAGATGCACTGAAATTAGTATATCAGGAAGGCTTACTGACTACTGGAGAGACCAAACTGGCCTACAAGAAAGACCAAATGAAGAACAGAATAGAGGCATGGGAAGACAAAGCACTACATGGCCAATACATTAAAAAAATAGCTGGGAAAGCAGATAATAACAAGACCTGGCAATGGCTAAGAGCAGGAAAATTGAAGAAAGAGACCGAGGGACTAATTCTGGCTGCACAAGACCAAGCCTTAAGGACAAATGCATATAAAGTCAAAATTGAGAAGACAGCAACAGACAGTAAGTGCCGCCTATGCAAAGAAGCTGAAGAAACAGTGGACCACCTGGTAAGTTGTTGCAAGAAGATTGCACAGACTGACTACAAGCAGCGGCATGACAAAGTAGCAACAATGGTGCATTGGAAGATCTGCAAAAAATATCATTTGCCTGTAAGCAAAAACTGGTGGGATCATAAAATAGAGAAAGTCATAGAAAATGATAAAATTAAACTGCTCTGGGACTTCAGAATTCAAACAGACAAGCACCTGCAACATAACACCCCAGACTTAACAATTGTCGATAAGAAAGACAAAAAAGTCTGGATAGTGGACGTGGCAGTGCCTGGAGACAGAATAGACGAGAAAGAACTGGAGAAGATAACAAAATACAAAGACCTACAAATAGAAATAGAAAGACTGTGGCAAAAGCAAGCAAGGGTAGTACCAATAGTCATAGGCTCCTTGGGTGCAATCCCAAAACAACTGGAGCACCACTTGAACACCACTGGCATTGACAAATTCGCTATTAGTCAATTGCAAAAGGCGGCCTTACTAGGAACTGCTTCCATCCTGCAACGATATCTGTAATAACATCAAACATCCACATCTGCCTATCCCAGATCCTGGGTAAGGACTCGATAGGTCAGTGGTTCTCAACCTTTCTAATGCCATGACCCCATAATACAGTTCCCCATGTTGTGGTGACCCCCAACCACTTATACATCACCAGGTGCCAGGGGCGTGGCCAAAGCAAAGGGGGAAAAATGGCGGACAGCCTTGTTTGGCGACCCCTGTGAAATGGTCGTTCGACCCCAAATGGGGTCCCGACCCACAGGTTGAGAACCACTGCGATAGGTAGACAAAATGCCAAATCCAGTCTGAACATCTGGCTGACTGTGTGATGATCCATGATAATAATAATAATAATAATAATAATAATAATAATAATAATAATAATAATAATAATAATAATAATAATAATAATAAAGTTGGAAGGAACTTTGGAGTTCATTTAGTCCAACCCCCTGCTCAGGCAGGAAACCCTATACCATTTCAGACAAATGGTTGTCCAATCTCTTCTTAAAAACCTCCAGTGTTGGAGCAATCACAGCTTCTGGAGGCAGGTTGTTCCACTGATTAATTGTTCTAACTGTCAGAAAATTTCTCCTTAATTCTAGGTTGCTTCTCTCTTTGGTTAGTTTCCATCTATTGCTTCTTGTCTTACCCTCAGCTGTTTTGGAGAATAGCTTGACTCCCTCTTCTTTGTGGCAGCCCCTGAGATATTGGAAAACTGCTATCATGTCCCCCCTTGTCCTTCTCTTTGTTAAACTAGATATACCCAATTCCGGCAACTGTTCCTTATATGTTTTAGCCTCCAGTCCCCTAATCATCTTTGTTGCTTTTCTCTGCACTCTTTCTAGAGTCTCAACATCTTTTTTACATCGTGGTGACCAAAACTGGATGCAGTATTCCAAGTGTGGTCTTACCAAGGTATTGTAAAGTGGTATTAATACTTCACGTGATCTTGATTCCATCCCTCTGTTAATGCAGCCCAGCACTGTTTTGGCTTTTTTGGCAGTTAAAGCACACTGCTGGCTCATATTTAAGTGATTATGTTGTTTTGAGTTAAAGAGCCATGCAGAGGGAGGGGGAATTGTTGCTTGGCCAAGTCCAGGTCAGGTTGCAAATGGCTGCTTTACTTGGTTCAGTAAGAATGGCCTACAGTACTATCCTTCTCTCCACCCCACCCCACCCCATATCCTGAGTTCTGCAGATTGTGACAGGTGGAGATGGCTGTGGAGACCCCAAGGAAGGGAAGCAGAGCACGGAGGTATCTCAGAAGGTCAGGGAAACCGAAAGCAGTTATCCTGAAGCACCCTATGTGAATTTAATGACCCCTGCATTCTTTTAACATATGCATTGGGGTGATCCAGGATGAGGGCTCTTTCACTTAATGTGTTTCAATTAATGTCCTCCTGCCTTACGACAGAAATGTGCTGGCTCGATTACTGTCATAAGTCAAGGATTACCTGTACCAGAAGATAGAAAAGCTTTAATGAATCCTGAGACAAGGGAGTTAACTGAACTTACACCAACTGGAAGATTTAAGCTTGAAAGTATAGACCTATAGTCTGACTGTTTGCAATCAGAATAACAATATGCAGAACTCTTGAAACCTATTTCTCCCAACTTTCTAAAAATGAATTTCTTAAGCCAAGAAAAATAGTTATAAGAAACTTGTACAAGGTCTTGCATTTCATAGCTTTATTCGTGTGCACAGAAAAAAGGTGAGTGTCAAAGTGTCCTAGATGCAAACAGTGAAGATTTTAGAATGGAACAAATTCCTTAGTGAAGTACAATTGATTATATCACCATATCGCAACCCTAGAATGCTCTTTATTTATTTCAGTTTGTATCACAGCCCACTTCATTGTTGTAACTCTGGACGACTAACATTTTAAGAAATAGAACCTAACAAGAGCATAACAATAAATACATAAAGAGGAGCCAGGATATATGCAAATATCGAAATCCATTATCAACATAACCATCTCACAGGATCTGCCATGCATCCCAACCCCCATGATCAGTGATGGAATTATGTCTTCAAAGTCATAGGAAGGGCCAATGGAGGGCTGCTCTGATTTCAAGGGAGATGATATTCCAGACAGTGGCTGTCACAACACAAAAAGGTTCTTTCTGGGTCCCACCAGATGACACTTTTTCTTTGATGGAAGCAGCAACATGTCTCTGTTGCTGGTCCTGATGAGATGGGTGGATGTAACCAGCAAAGATGATTCCTCAAGTAACTCATGCCGTATGTGGCTTTATAGCTCATAACCAACATTTGAACTGAGCCTGGCAGCATACTGGCAACCCATGCAGCTTGCAGAGCAGAGATGTACCATGTACTGATCACAGAGTACCCATAACTGCCAGCACTGCTATATTTTGAACCAGCTGCAGCTTCTGGGTACTCATATAAAGTGCATTGCAGTAGTCCATTGAGGAGGTGATTCATATATCCACGTCATGCCCCCAAGTTAAAATCCCGATTGTCAGGTCTTCCAAGCTCAGCTTGGTGCCTTACAGGTATCCTGCCATCAAAGTCTGGGGGTGGGGAGGATAGATGGGCAATAAAGCTGTGTGTGTACATGATGGGAAATAGGGAGGGGGGAATGATAGGTGATAGAAACCAGACAAGCTCAGAACCAATTTGTACCAGCATCCAAGGCCAGGTACTTTGAGAAAGAATGTGGATTACCCCAAAACATCTCAGTTTTTAAAACCTTTCTGCAACTTCTGTTTGGCTAAAGACAGATTGGTCATGGGAGGAAGGACTGGGATGAGGGGAAACTTTTCTGTGTCATTCTGTGTCAGAATTAGCCTGACTTTACTGCAGCCAACATCTTTTTAGTAAAATAACCTTTTGTTTCAACCAAATGGAGTCGAAGGTCTTTCTTTCCTAAAGAAAGACACTGACCCCCCAAAACTCCATAGTCTCAAATTCCACTTGGACAAAACTTGTTTTGTAAGGAAGGAAGTTCTTCACATCCTTGAATCTCATCCATCAATTGATTTAATGATTTGAGCAAGATGTTTTTTTAAAAAAAGTCTTGCTTTATATTACAAAAATATCATCAGGTCCTGGATCTTTATATAGTTAGTAGGTTTTATAGAGTCTACGTTACTCTTTATATTGTAATGTAGTTACTTATTTATAGTATGATACTTTTTTAGAGTTAGAGCTATTTATGTTTTAATATATTGCTTCCAACACCCATTTTCTTCTTCTTCAACTTTCTGCTGTGTTTACAACATTCCATGCCCACTTGTTTTTCTTCATAAGCTATTATTATTTCTATATAATTCAGTAAGTAAATTAGCCAATGGGATTATTCTCCTAAATAGGATTTTATTTTATTTTATTTATAAGCAGAACTTTATTGTAGGGACAAAGGTGCTGTTTTGGCCCCATAATGCAGAGACCCCCAACCTTTTGGGCATCAAGGACTGGTTCCGTGGAGAAAAAATTCTTCTGCAGATTGGAGGGGTGTGTGATTTCATGTGCTGCCTGCATCCTGTGGATGGGGCTTCTTGCGTGGTCCGGTTTCTGGCACGTTGCTGGTCCATGGACCAGGGTTTGGGAACCCCTGCCATAATGCAAAAGCCACTTCCCCCTTGAACACATTTTCCTCTTTTTTCATCATCACAGTTTGCAGCTATGCATCTATGGTTATGTGCTGCGGGGGACCCAAATATGCTGTTACGTGTATCTCAAAGCTCCTTAATCCCATTGTAATTAGGCCTAATTAGGCAATAGTCTCTGGTTTATTTTTTTTTTCAAAAATTGCAATGATTTCTGTGTAAAATTGATGACGTTTTTAATTTTATTTTACAACATTATGCTGCATTGTACAGACGTGTGAACTGCAAATATAACAGTTCTGTGAAATGGTGCTTTTTGGCGGCATCTCAGGATTGCTGCTCAGGCAAAGGTGGGAATCCTAACTTCATTACTCTTTCATTGTTAAGGAATGTTGAAATAAAGGGTGCTATTCTGGAACAAAACCACAATTCAAGTCTTTTCATTACAGAAGTACGGTTACCAATTCACACCGTTTGGGAAAATAGCCTGACGTTAATGCAACCAATTGTGAATTTCTATGATTTAAACCAAATGGAAGGAGGGAGCTCTTTCTCTTTTTTAGAAATAACTTTGGTACACATATTTTTTCCTTTCAAATGCCTTATATATATTTCTTTCCTGTTAAGAAAGATCAGTTGGAAATTGACCCTCCATTTTGTGGTAATTTGTCATTGAGCTATAGCTCTGTGATTTCAGAAGGTTCTGAAAGTTTTCCCAAGTGTCTACAAATGTTAATTTTGGCAATGGCTTTCTAGATCCTTGGATAGAGATGCAGAAGCCTCCATTAAAAAAAAATACTAATAGGAGCATAGCTCAGCTGTAGAGAATAGTATTTATGTGCAGGAGATCCAATATTTCATCCAATATGAAGAATTATGGAAAGCATGCCTGGGAAAGAATCTGACCCCCAAATCACTCCAGAACAAATGATTTTGGGCTATTGGACCATTTAATAAAATTATCACTATTCAAAATGTTGCATAATCTGCAGGACCCTTATTTCTGTTGGAGATTATATCTCTTTGTACTATAAGCTATTTGAACTAGATCAGGGGACTTCAATACCCAGAATTCCTGAGTCAGCCATGCTGACTCAGGAATTCTGGGAGTTGAAGTCCACAAGTCATAAAAGAGCCAAGGTTGCCTACCCCGGAACTAGATGGATAAAGGGAAGCATTTCCACAGTTGTTCTCGCACTTGTTTCTCATCTAGCCTATTGTTAGTCTCTTGCTCTCTCTCCAAGATGTAGTTCAGATAGAAATGAGGCTTTTTTTGTATTCATGTATTCTTAATTACTCCAGCTTTTACTTCGGAGATGATAAAGGAAAAGACTTTTAGCATTCACATGTTGCTGGACTAAACCCATGTTTTGCATCCAAGTCACTAGTATAAATACTTGCATTTTTTTTTTTGAGTGGGACATTCCGCAACGTGATTAGTAATATTTTGCTTATCTTCAGGTGCACATCCTCCAGCAAAGATTTGTGCTGAATTCAGATCTCCAAAAGTTATTGAACCTAATAATACAAATAATAATAAATGACCTCAAGCAACTTTACCAACAATTAAGTCAGCTTCGCATTATCTGTTTAAAGTAGGCCTCTACTATTAATCTTCAGAGCACCAGTATGGTGCTAGAGCTTAAATACATGGAATTTGACCACAGAGAACATGATTAAGATTGTTATGTATTAAACCAATTTCATAAGGTCTGTTATAAAAACGGTTAACTAAGTGGTTCAATTGAAATCCTTAACTGTCTGTCTGTATATATTGCAAGCCTGTGTTTTAGGTGGGAATGTTCGCTTTAAACTCATTGGCTGCTGCCTAGTGGCAGTCCGTATAAATATAAATCAAGTGGCTGCTAGAGCCGCTTCTGTTGTGGATTGAATAAACAAGCAGTTACTTTCACTCCTGTGTCTTCAATGCCTCATTGTTCCCACTACACAACACTGGCGGATGAAGGTGGGATTATGCTGTTAGAAAGAAAAGAGCTGAAGAACCAAAGAGCTTGAGTCACTAAGGGGTAAGACCGGGCATCAGCACCCTGGTAGAAACACTACACAACAAAGATCATATTGGAAAAGTTGGATTCCTGGTTTTTGTGCACACACTAAATTATAACTCTATGTCAGTTCTATTAATAGACCCATACAGGTCTCTTCTCCTCTCAACGGGTTACTCTTCATCAGATTCTTCACTGGTTTCATCTAGAGAGGTAGCCTCTGGGGAAGAATGATGTCCAAAATGGCATAACCCTTGAGGGGCAACATTGACCAACTTCTTTCTTGTCCCACCGAAGTGGAAAGAAAGCCATCCTGGCAAGGATATTTCTGCATTTTTCCAAGAATAATATGGAGTTTCACAGTGGCTGCAGGGAGAAATCACCAGTGGTGTCTCTACGAAGGCAGACTGTGAAGAAGCTACTCTTCTGCCCATTCTACTGTGACAAACTGAGGTTCTCGTAGGCACTGCTTGAGTTTCATCTTCCAGATCCTCCATGTTAAACGAAAATCGACCTTTGTGAGCCTTGTGTGTCACGTCCCACATTTTCTGTTCCAGGCAATTCACAGGGGACTGCACACCGAATGCTCTCGGGGGCCATTCTTTCCAGGATGGGGTGCACAATTGCATAGCTTTTTGCAGGGCAAGCAGAGGAGATGAAGACTCTGGCTGGGAAGGATTATTCCAGGAATTCGGGACTTCTGGAAAGGCCCAGAACAAGCGGCCAGGTGGGATCTCCTGCACTGAGGTCTTAGTTATATATGAATAGAGGCAGAAGCAATCATCAGCTGTTGCACCCAGAGTTTGAACATCTCTGAACCGACCTGAAAAAGGAGCAGTGAGATGCGTCAGAGAAAAAAAAATTCAGATTGGAAAAATACTAACTGCTTCTTGATCTTTCATATTTCACATATCGGCAGGCAAGACTCTGCAGTGCACATTACCAATTGAGAGTAAACATACTGGTATGATGACAAGTATTTGAATGTTTGACTTTTATTTAAACAACGCTAATTTAATTTAACACTGTGTCCACCTTGGATGCTTTGGGCAAATTAACATACAGAAGCAACACCTGATTCCCATCTCTGTTCCATTCATGGATTCCTTGCAAATGCTGGGTTTTGCATAGGTTAGCTAGTCTCCTGTTTGTGAGTTGGGCAGCCATATAAATGTGTTTAAAAAACAAAAAACATTTTTTTGTGTAACAGTGACTAGATCCCTGTTTGTGCATGCACCAAACAGGCAGTTCCCATAGCATGTGTGTCAAATATATATACATACATATATGTATACTTATACTATGGGAGCTGCCTGTTTGGTGCGTGCACAAACAGGGATCTAGTCACTTACACAAATATATATATATTTGGGCTGACAGGGTGTTCATTCAAGGTAAAAATCTCCTCCCCCTGTCTCTCTCCTGATACAGCTGACAAAGTGAGGAGAGCCTGTGGCTTAGAGGTTATAACAACTGCCTAACATGCAGATAGCCCAGGTTCGAATCTCAGAAGAGTAAGTTTGGCTGAAGAGAGTTAAAGGAACTCGAAATAGCTATACCATTCTCTCTTTATTCTTTGTTAGCAATATATATATATATATATATATATATATATATATATATATATATATGTAGGTCTTTGATTGTTCAGGTTTTCTCCCGCATAAAATTGGAAGTGTCTTGGCGACGTTTCGACGAAGTCCCATTCGTCATCTTCAGGCTGGTGTTTTCAGCTTCGTGCTTTGAGCAGCAATGTGTGGTCTTAGCTGTTTCTTCCTTTTAACTGCCAGTGGGGTATGAACTGATTGGGTGGGAGCTTGGCTGTGTTCTGATTGGGTGGAGGTGTGTTCTGAATGGTTAGGGGCTTGGCTGTGCTCTGATTGGCTGGGGGAGTGTTCTGTTTGGTTGTACTCAGGTTAGTCTGAGTTGCAGAGGGGTTTGAGATTTTGGGCTGCCTTGCTATTTTTTGGCTTCGCGTTCGTGGTCGTGCCTCATCTTCATGGGGGTGTCAGTTTGCTTCATGTATGAATTGGAGGGGTTTAAAGTGGCTAATGATGCAGCTGTGGTCTGGCTTCTGGTTTGTGGTCGTGCCTCATCATCGGTGTGGCTTTGGGTTTGCTTTTTGCGTGGATGTGTGGTGGTGACATCCTGTGTGTTTTTTGTGAGTGTGGGTCTGGTATCATTTTTTGTATTAGGGAGTCGTTTGTCAATAAGGGCGGGTTTCCAAATGGCTGGTAGGCGGGAGGTATCATCTCGCTTGTTCATGCTGTGTGGGCGTTTTTCTATCTCGATGGCTTCTCTGATTATTCTGTGATTAAAATGTTCACTTTTGGCAATGGTTCTGGTATTTTTAAAGTCAATTTCATGTCCTGTGGCTTTAAGGTGTTGGACCAGGGAAGATGTTGGTTACTCTTTTTTGACTGAGTTCTTATGTTCTTCAATGCGTGCACTTATTCTTCTGTTGGTTTGTCCGATGTATGTGGTGGAACAAGTGGTGCATGGGATTTCATATACTCCTTGATTTTCTAATTCAATTTTATCTTTGGGGTTTCTTAGGATGGTGGATATTTTTCTGTTTGGGCAGAATGCTGTCTTAATGTTGTGTTTGTGGAGGATCTTGCTGATTTTGCCTGTGGTGTCTTTTATGTAAGGGAGGAGGGCTTTGCTGTTTTCTTGTTCTCTGTCTTGGATTTTAGTGGGGGTTTCTTTTTGGATTAGTTTGGTAATCTTATTTCTTTGGAATCTATTGGATGTAAGTACATTAGTGAGAGTGTGTAGTTCGGTTTTTAGGTGTTGTTCATCAGCTAAGCGTTTTGTTCTGGAGATGAGTGTCTTGGCTACAGAGTTGATCTGTGCTGGGTGGTGGTGTGAGAGAGCGTGCAGATAGCGGTTTGTGTGTGTTTTCTTCTGGTAGATGGTGTGTCCTAGGGAGCCATTGGATTTCTTGTAGACTAAGACATCCAGGAAGGGACGTTGGTGGTTAGCTTCTGTTTCCATGGTGAACTGTATTTTGGGGTGTAGGCTGTTGAGGTGTGTGAGGAAGTTGTCCAGTTTTTCTTTCCCATGTGGCCAGATTATGAAGGTGTCGTCTACGTATCTGAGCCAGAGTTTGGGTTTGTGATCCGATTTTTCTAGAGCTTGGGTTTCAAAGTGTTCCATGTAGAGGTTGGCAATGACAGGTGAGAGGGGTGATCCCATGGGTGCTCCTTCTGTTTGTTTGTATTTTTGTCCATTATAGATGAAGTATGTGTTGGATAGGCAGTGGTTGGTCAGATCTAAGATGTGTTTGGGGGGGTTATATTTGTTTTGGATAGCTGTCAAGGCCTCTTTGATAGGCACTTGGGTGAAGAGGGATATGACATCGAAGCTCACGAGTAGATCGCTGGGCTGTAAGTTTTGTTTCTTTATGATATCTATAAACTGGAATGAGTTTTTTATGTGTGAGGTGATGGATTCTGCGTAGGGCTGTAGTTGTTTGGCGAGAAATTTGGCTAGGTTTTGTAGAGGTGAGCCTATGGAGCTGACTATAGGTCTGAGTGGGGTTCCTTCTTTGTGTATCTTGGGGAGATCATAGAGTTTGGGGCATCTGGATGATTTCTCTCTGGGAATGATTCTTTGCTGGATATCCTCACTAATGGGGGAGGCTTTTATTTTGGATCTGGTGGTTTTTTTCCAGGTAGGTGGTGGGATCTGTATTTAGGGGTTTGTATGTGGAGTCTTGGAGTAGGTTGGTTAATTTGGTTTGGTAGTCAGATGTGTTCATAACCACCGTGGCGTTGCCCTTGTCTGCTGGTAGGATTATTATGCTGGTGTCTTCTTTCAGGTTACGTAGTGCTGTCTGTTCCTCTTTGGGTAAGTTGCTTTTGGGTGGCTTGCTGGTGCAGAGGATGTTGGTGATTTCGAGTCTGATTCTGTTAGCGTCGTCGGGGTTGATTTTGGTCAGGCTGGTTTCAGCCAAGCCCCTAACCATTCAGAACACACCTCCACCCAATCAGAACACAGCCAAGCTCCCACCCAATCAGTTCATACCCCCACTGGCAGTTAAAAGGAAGAAACAGCTAAGACCACACATTGCTGCTCAAAGCACGAAGCTGAAAACACCAGCCTGAAGATGACGAATGGGACTTCGTCGAAACGTCGCCAAGACACTTCCAATTTTACGCGGGAGAAAACCCGAACAACCAAAGACCTACATATATATATATATATATATATATATATATATATATATATATATATATTTCTGAGGTTTTCGCGGGTGTTTGTATGTAGTCTTTGGTTGTTCGGGTTTTCTCCCGCGCAAAATTGGAAGTGTCTTGGCGACGTTTCGACGAAGTCCCATTCGTCATCTTCAGGCTGGTGTTTTCAGCTTCGTGCTTCGAGCAGCAATGTGTGGTCTTAGCTGTTTCTTCCTTTTAACTGCCAGTGGGGGTATGAGCTGATTGGGTGGGAGCTTGGCTGTGTTCTGATTGGGTGGAGGTGTGTTCTGATTGGTTAGGGGCTTGGCTGTGCTCTGATTGGCTGGGGGGTTGGCTGTGTTCTGATTGGCTGGGGGGTTGGCTGTGCTCTGATTGGCTGGGGGAGTGTTCTGTTTGGTTGTACTCAGGTTAGTCTGAGTTGCAGAGGGGTTTAAGATTTTGGGCTGCCTTGCTATTTTTTGGCTTCGCGTTCGTGGTCGTGCCTCCTCTTCATGGAGGGTGTCAGTTTGCTTCATGTATGGATTGGAGGGGTTTAAAGTGGCTAATGATGCAGCTGTGGTCTGGCTTCTGGTTTGTGGTCGTGCCTCATCATCGGTGTGGCTTTGGGTTTGTTTTTTGCGTGGATGTGTGGTGGTGACATCCTGTGTGGTTTTTGTGAGTGTGGGTCTGGTATCATTTTTTGTGTTAGGGAGTCGTTTGTCAATAAGGGCGGGTTTCCAAATGGCTGGTAGGCGGGAGGTATCATCTCGCTTGTTCATGCTGTGTGGGCGTTTTTCTATCTCGATGGCTTCTCTGATTATTCTGTTATTAAAATGTTCACTTTTGGCAATGGTTCTGGTATTTTTAAAGTCAATTTCATGTCCTGTGGCTTTAAGGTGTTGGACCAGGGAAGATGTTGGTTCCTCTTTTTTGACTGAGTTCTTATGTTCTTCAATGCGTGCACTTATTCTTCTGTTGGTTTGTCCGATGTATGTGGTGGGACAAGTGGTGCATGGGATTTCGTATACTCCTTGATTTTCTAATTCAATTTTATCTTTGGGGTTTCTAAGGATGGTGGATATTTTTCTGTTTGTGCAGAATGCTGTTTTGATGTTGTGTTTATGGAGGATCTTACTGATTCTGTCTGTGGTGCCTTTTATGTATGGGAGGAGGGCTTTGCCGTTTTCTTGTTCTTTGTCTTGGATTTTAGTGGGGGTTTCTTTTTGGATTAGGTTTGTAATCTTATTTCTATGGAATCCATTGGATGTTAGTACATTGGTGAGAGTGTGTAGTTCGGGTTTTAGGTGTTGTTCGTCAGCTAAGCGTTTTGTTCTGGAGATGAGTGTCTTGGCTACAGAGTTGATCTGTGCTGGGTGGTGGTGTGAGAGAGCGTGCAGATAGCGGTTTGTGTGTGTTTTCTTCTGGTAGATGGTGTGTCCTAGGGAGCCATTGGATTTCTTGTAGACTAAGACATCCAGGAAGGGAAGTTGGTTGTTAGCTTCTGTTTCCATGGTGAACTGTATTTTGGGGTGTAGGCTGTTGAGGTGTGTGAGGAAGTTGTCCAGTTTTTCTTTCCCATGTGGCCAGATTATGAAGGTGTCGTCTACGTATCTGAGCCAGAGTTTGGGTTTGTGATCCGATTTTTCTAGAGCTTGGGTTTCAAAGTGTTCCATGTAGAGGTTGGGAGAAATCATCCAGATGCCCCAAACTCTATGGTCTCCCCAAGATACACAAAGAAGGAACCCCACTTAGACCTATAGTCAGCTCCATAGGCTCACCTCTACAAAACCTAGCCAAATTTCTCGCCAAACAACTACAGCCCTATGCAGAATCCATCACCTCACACGTAAAAAACGCATTCCAATTTACAGAGATCATAAAGAAACAAAACTCACAGCCCAGCGACCTACTAGTGAGCTTCGATGTCATATCCCTCTTCACCCAAGTGCCTATCAAAGAAGCCTTGACAGCTATCCAAAACAAATATAACCCCCCCAAACACATCTTAAAGCCACAGGACATGAAATTGACTTTAAAAATACCAGAACCATTGCCAAAAGTGAACATTTTAATAACAGAATAATCAGAGAAGCCATCGAGATAGAAAAACGCCCACACAGCATGAACAAGCGAGATGATACCTCCCGCCTACCAGCCATTTGGAAACCCGCCCTTATTGACAAACGACTCCCTAACACAAAAAATGATACCAGACCCACACTCACAAAAACCACACAGGATGTCACCACCACACATCCACGCAAAAAACAAACCCAAAGCCACACCGATGATGAGGCACGACCACAAACCAGAAGCCAGACCACAGCTGCATCATTAGCCACTTTAAACCCCTCCAATCCAAACATGAAGCAAACTGACACCCTCCATGAAGAGGAGGCACGACCACGAACGCGAAGCCAAAAAATAGCAAGGCAGCCCAAAATCTTAAACCCCTCTGCAACTCAGACTAACCTGAGCACAACCAAACAGAACACTCCCCCAGCCAATCAGAGCACAGCCAACCCCCCAGCCAATCAGAGCACAGCCAAGCCCCTAACCAATCAGAACACACCTCCACCCAATCAGAACACAGCCAAGCTCCCACCCAATCAGTTCATACCCCCACTGGCAGTTAAAAGAAAGAAACAGCTAAGACCACACATTGCTGCTCGAAGCACGAAGCTGAAAACACCAGCCTGAAGATGACGAATGGGACTTCGTCGAAACGTCGCCAAGACACTTCCAATTTTACGCGGGAGAAAACCCGAACAACCAAAGACCTATATATATATATATATATATATATATATATATATATATATATATATATATATATATAATGCACCCAGAATGGCCAACCTAATATTCTAGACTAACATTTGATAACGTTTGATTTCTGGTAAATACATGATATATCCATGCAGTTTTCCTGGCAGCAATATGGAAGGTGTGGTTGCCTTCCTTCCAGAATGTTCTCAATTTCCCAGTCTAATTTACAGCTCATGTATTTCTTGGTGATCGCCCATCCAAGTTCTAGCTGGGCTTAATCCTGCTTAGCTGCTGAGCCCATATAAGGTTAAATCTGGTGCTCCGCCCTGTTGAAATGATATTTCAGGTAACTCAAACTACTGGTAGTTAAAGCTAAATGCGTTTCTACTAACTGCTTATATATCTTTTGAGGAGTATCACAAGATGTCATTCTCCTATAACTTAGTTATATCCACCAAGTTCAAGGCTGATCTTATCTTAAAATTAATTACAGTTTGTGTTATGTCCCGAGCCTTGCAAACTGGCTCGGGGCATTTGCAGGCAGTCCCGGGCAAGTGCAAGCTGCCCGGGACCAGACAGGCTGTCGCCAGCGCCTGTGCGCATGCGCGGGTGCTGGCGCGGGAAAAGTAACACATTGACCCGGGAATTGCCTATATAAGAGGCTGGGAGGTTTTGGGCGTTGCTGAAGCCTTCACCTGTAAGCTGAACACAGAATAAAAGAAAACCTGAGAACTGCAACTGCTTCTCGCATCTGCTTTTCGCCAAGGACTCAACAGTTTGTATGATTAAAATTGCACATTTCCTTCTTCTTACCTTTCATATTAAAGACTATGGCTTGGGGATGAATTTGGGAGGCCTTGGGAGGTACCATCCAAAATTATACAGCCATGGAGTCTAAGTAAGGATGGGGCTTCCTCCCCAAGGTTTTGTGAGTCTCCACATCCTCCCAAATTGCTTCTCCTTTCTACTTTATTAAATATAATCTGCAATCTCGTTGCAATCTGTAGTCTGCAATCTGTTGCTCTAGATGGCACGATGGGCAGTGTATACATTTAATAAAAAATATGTAACTAAATAAACAGTTGCATGGTGTTAGACAAATACTGAGGCACTTCCCGCCATCCACCCATTACAATTCCACACATGCCAGTATCTTCAACAAGGTTTTTACTTCTTTCTTCCTGTCAACAGCCCACTACATTGTCATTTCTATTGTAATAAAGCAGATTACAATAGAGCTATACCATATAAATAGATATAGGAGCAGACTGGGAGGCACAGAGATACATCTGGGGATAATCATTTTAAAATTAGTGTTAAACCCTATGCATGCTTATTGTTTTACTCAAAGTGGGAAACACATGATCTTCCACATATTGCTGAACCACTACTTCCAGCTTCACATGCTATATAGGCTGTGCTGATTGGGGTTATTGGGAGTAGCACTTTCTCAATATCTGATCAACCATAGATTCCCCACCTTGTTCCTGAAGTGTTAACCTACTACCTGTTGGTCATTTCCAGAGATGAGAGAGATCAAACTCAAGACCCTTTTCATGCAAAGTTGATATTCTGCCATTGAACAATGGCCTGTTGCTGCCAAAAAAAGAGGTTCTTCTCATCTTTTGGGAGCCCACTTTAAGAACCTCCAACCATGAAAGAGACACTTACTTACTAACATCAGGCAAGGATCCTCCATCTCAATCCGCTGGATCTGGGCTCTTAGAAAGAGAGGGAAATTGATGCCCTCAGCTTGGGATGGAACAGAGAAGAACCGATCAGGGATCCAAGTGGCAGCCTGTGCTAATTCCTCTGTGAATCCCAAGTTGCCAAGAATGGTCTCAGCATCAATCTGACAGAGGTGCAGCACTTCTGAAATGCTAAAGGGGAGATGATGGTGAGAGGCTGAATTCAGGGAATGATTAATCCTTGGGTTTTTTATTATTATTATTTCAGTGTATTTAATGCTCTTTCCTTCAATTTATCTCCACAATAAGAACACTCAGAAGTTATTTCATCTGGAAGGAATGACTTTCCCAAAGTTGCTAAGTAAGCTTCCATGACTGAGACTGGACTTGAATCAGATTCTTCCCAGTCCTACGCCAACACCTCAACCACTGCACCACATTGGAGGTCTTATACAAGCTATTTCTCTCAACTGTATCCTTACAATAGGTTGCAAGATGTGCTTGTCAAAGAAGAAGTGATGGAATGTAGTGAGGAGGCAGATCCCAGGGAGGGAGGGGTGCATTCCATGGGAATAAGAGACAATTCAGTCCAATATTTGGAATGAGAGAAAGAGGGTAAAGACAGGTCCTCCCTAATAGTTCTCAGAGTATATGGTAAAAGCATATATTAGAATGCTTTGTCTGACAAGATTCTGTTTATAAGCGTGTATAAACTCAGCTTGGAAGAATGATGCATCTTTCTTGAGTTTTGGGTCTGACATCAATATTGCCCAGACTAAGCACTCTACTATCTGCATCTACCATCTACTTTGATAGTATTAGGGAGGGGCTGTCTTCACCCTCTTTCTCTCACACCAAATATCTGGACTCAGTGTCTCTTATTCCCCTGGATTGCAGCCCTTCCCCATGGGGATCCATCTCCTCACTACATTCTATCACAGAAAGTTCCATAAGGTCTTGACTGTATCTTTGGCTAGTACTCTTCACTTATATATGATAAAAGTTTTCTATCCTTTTATTCAGGCCAAGCCCTCCACAAAGAAGCTTCAGGCTTACCTGGAACTGGTCTTGTTAGTGCTGTCTGCCATGTCATCGGAAGCCATGTTGGATCTAGAACAAGATCCCAGACTTGGAAGGCCAGGCAGCACCTTTGGGGATCCTGCCATGAAAGAAAGACAGTGAAGAGAAGCCCTGGATCATCTGGCCTGAAGGAAACATTTGCTGAAGAAGGGGGATGGACAGGCTTGTGGGTATGTCAATAGCCACATTAAAAAAGCAAGCATTATCAGGGGGAAAAATGAGTTAAAATAGAGTAGTAGGTGAAGTTAAAGCAATCATTCCCATTTTCATCAAACACATTGAATACCTGAAAAAATAAAATAAGTACTAAGTGTCAAGAGTGAAACTTTGGCAGCTACGTTCCTCTTCATTTTGACTTGCCGTTAGAGTTGGGGTGGGGAGGTATTGCTTTAGAAGTGTTTGGATAGAGAAATGAAACCTCTATGATTCCTCTGAAGACTGTGAGACCCTGAAAACATTTCCAAGGATACTGCAGCAGGTGTGGAGGAGAAGCAGATGGTTCCCATAACAAAGTGAAATTGTTTACAGAGACTACATGAGAGGGTGGGGGTTTGGCCAGAGAGATTATTATTTAATTTTATGAGCTGGTGTCTGGGAACCTCACAGTTAATTTTACTTTGACAGTACCATGCCATCTATTCAATAAACAGTAAGAATTTTGGAAACAGAATGAACCTGATCTTTTATTTGGATCCTCAAGCTGGATATTGACATTAAATTAACTCTCTCTAGCAGGCTACCTGGGTTTTCCTCCCAGGAGTGCTGGGACATTGTGAGATCTGTAATGGACAAGAAGACAGATGGAGGAGTACAACAGAGAGAAGCTCCCATCCTGCGGTCATTGATTGTGACCCAGATGGGAGTGACAGACTCATCGACAGGGGCTTGTCTGAAGCAGACAGCTGGATCGATAGAGTCACCATTCACTGCTGGAGGAGCAAGACCCACAGAAGATCCTTGTCCGGCACCAAGAACTACATGGGTGAGTAGTCTCAGGAAGGCAGCAGAAACTGAATTTCTGCTGACTTTATCAGAAGCTTGGCCAACAAAGGCAACCAAGAGGGCAGCAGAATAGGGAGAGACGATGGAGTAGAAGCTTCCTGTGCCAGCTCGCAACCTTTCTGTGGAGCAATTGCAAGAGAAGTTCAGAGGATTATAAATTCCAGGAGCTATCCCACTGAAGTGGTCGATGATGAGTCCCACTCACCTGCTTGCTACACCTTCTCCACCCTCCTGACCAATAGGAACTTCGGGCTGGTCTGGAGTGTCAGGGGATGCAGAGCAGAGGTGGCTGTGCGACTGTAACCCAGCAGCTGCTAGCCCAACAAATTTTGGGACACCACCTGGCCATTGGGCAGCCAATAGGAGAGAAACTCAAGCAGCAGTCCTGGGAGCTGCCCTTTCACCTGGATATATACTGGTACAGGAGGATCAACAGCCTCCTTCTTTAAAAGTCATGTTTGAAAGCCAACTGGAGAAGTTGGGTTACTTTCTGACCCAGGTGTGGAATTACTTAAAAAGATATGGAGGCAGACATCCCGATGACAGCTTGCGTGTGAATGCTATTTCCATGAACCTGGAAGGGGATGCCATGGAGTGGTTGGTGTCCTTATTTGATGAAGTGGCCCCAGAGCTCCATGATGTGGATCCCTTCATGCAAGAGCTACAGAATCCGTTTGAAGATCCCACTGAGACAAGAAAGGCAGATGCGAAAATCCGGACAATCAGGCAAGGGAAACGAACGGTTGCGGAATACATTAGAGAATTTTGTAGCCTGGTGGCTCAGGTACGATGGTGGCCTAAACACATGTTGGTCTAGCACTTTCAAGATGGATTAAACAAAGACTTGTATTACAATTGCCTACCCAGAGGGGTGCCCAATCTCCTCAGAGATTGGTACCAGTTGGCTACCAACATGGAATTAGATTTGATAGATTACCGACATCATACTAGTCAAGATAACCAACTTCATTGTGCAACTGTGTGGCTTCCAGTTGGCCAAGGGAGCAACGGAAGTGTTCCAGGGACTAGAAGGGAGAGGCCCCCTCCAGGTAGGGGAGGGTGTTTCAGGTGTGGGAAAGAGGTCATCAAGCTGCGAATTGCGCTGCACAACAACTGATGTCAGCACTTCGAGTTCCAAACAAGTCTAGTACAACAAAGCTAGTATCTAAGTCCAAAGAAAAAACAAAAGTCACCCAACAATTCATGGAGGTCTCTTTCCCTGATGACTATCAGGATAGAACTGTTTGTGGCATTCCTCGGGAGTAAGGGAGACCATCACAGCTCCTCTGGACTCAGGATGCACAAAGTGTTTGGTGAGCTTGCAAACAGTAGAAAAAGTGGGACTGCAGCTCAGGAAGTTGAGACCACCCATGGGGTTTGAGCAGCTAGATGGGTCCCTTATGGGGGGAGAACCTAAAATTTGTCTCACTGAACCAGTGGCTGTAAAGACTGGAAATCATATTGAAATCATTTGTTTTATTGTAGCTGCTGGGGTGACTGAAAATATGATTTTAGGATTAGTGTGACTAAAGAAACAGAACCCCCTCAGTAGATTGGAATAACAATAGGTAGCGAATGAGGAATAGAGCAATCAATCAGCAAAAGCTGAAGGAAACACTGGCTGCTTGCCAGAAGCCTGTGGTTAAGAAATCGAAAGTGTTGTCAGCAATTATCCTAACAGCAGACAAGCAGCTAGAGCACAGTGTGTGCCAGCAGAATACAAAGACTTAATACAACTATTCAGTGATAAGGAATCTACATGGCTTGGGGCTAGGCTATTTGAAGGACTGCCTACTGCCAATTATATCTGCTCAGCCCTTCAGGGGAGGAAAGAAAGGCATGTTGCAGGTCCTAACTATTGAGGAAGTACATCTGGTGGGACCTAGAAAAAAGGCCTTCTCTGTGGTGGCTCCGTCCATTTGGAACATCATTATCCCAGAGATAACATTGCCCTGCCCGCTTGTTGCTTTTCCTCAAGACATGGTTTTATCAGTGGTCTTGGGGACCCCACTTGGAGCCTATCAAGTGGATTGTCTGTCAAGTGGAATGTTTTTGCCACCGCAGGGTGGAGTGAAGGCTTAAATAGTGGGTTTTTAACTGTGGATATTTAATGCTGTATTTTACCTGGAGTCATTGGGTGTGAGTTGAGTGGCTATATAAATATGAGAGAGAGAGAGACAGACAGACAGACAGACAGAGACAGACAGACAGACAGACACAAAGAGAGAGAGACAGACAGACAGAGACAGACAGAGACAGAGGGAGAGACAGAGACAGACAGATAGACAGACAGAGACAGAGACAGAGACAGAGAGACAGAAACAGAGAGACAAAGACACAGAGAGACAGACACAGACTCAGACACACACACACAGAGAGAGAGAGAGAGAGAGAGACAGAGACAGAGACAGAGACAGAGAGACAGAGACAGAGACAGAGACAGACAGAGACAGAGAAACACAGAATAACGTTGATTGGGGAAATTGGTGACCAACTTTTTCTTAGCCATCAAGCTCTCGGGGCTCTGATACTGCCCATTAATTATTTCACTTCTTCTGCCACAAAGTTTCATGGCAATCATAACACAGAATCCCAGGAGCACACCAGGTTGGTCCCTCCTTTCTGGGGGAAAAATAGGGTAAAGAAATCAGTGATGAAAAGCTAATAGCTATTTGGAAACACTTTTGAATCAGCCTATCTCACTGTATCATATGCATTCCACTTCCACGACTGCAAAAATAACCAATGCATATTCATTTCTATGCTTGTAATTGAGAAGTGTACCCATTTTGGCTCAGTTTGCAGCAATAATAATTGGACAGACTCTTCTCAGCAAATGTCAAAAATCCAGAAGAATTCAAACACCTCTGGCACCTGTTCTAGGACCTGCTATTTTTCAGTCTGGGCAAACATTTGCTAGGAAAGTTCTTGGCTGCTCTTCAGAGCCCAGCTGCTTTCTCACCAGTATTTTTGAATAAAACAGTAAATTTCCTTTGAGTTCAGTTCAACCATACAAAGTTATACATGGAGATAGACCGTTTTTGCCTGGATCCCAAGGGAAGCAAAGTGGCTATGAATGCACACACATGTAAAGCTAGCCAGGGATAGCTCCTGAGGCAGCAGAGCAAGCCTTGCAAAACCAGCTATTACGAATGCTTTTTTATCCTAGTAAATTGCTTGCTTGTTTCATTTTGAGTTATACAATGGCTCCCTCCAGTGGACAAAGCATGGATCCGCTGCTTTTCTTAAAAAGCTAAAAATAGTTATTGACTTCACATTCAGGGCAATAGTTGGGAAAAAATAAAATACGTATTTGACAGGAAAATGCATATAAAGGTAGTTTTTAGGAAGAGAGCATGTGGAAATAATCCTATAAAATGTGTACTCTAAAACATGCACCAGCACATTCTTAAGAAGTAATTCTGAACATTGGGCTCAATGGCATAGATGACAAATAAAGTTTATTTAGAACTTCAACCAACAATTGGGCTTTGGTCACAGTGTGCAACCACAAGGTTCAGACGTATAGATGAATATATTGTGTGGGGGCCCATAACTTCAGTGCTTATTTAAACCGTAGCCATATTGTATAAAACCACATAGGTAAGGTCAAGGTTCACATAAGTTTGAGAGATGTTTTCTCTCTTTTTTATTGAGCCTTGATTTAAAAAAAACTTACAATGGAATAACAGAGTTGGAAGGGACCCTGTAGGTCATCTAGTCCAACCCTCCACCCAAACAGGAGACCCTACACCATATCCAATCTCTTCTTGAAAGCTTCCAGTGATGAAGATCCCTCAACTTCTGAAGGCAATCTGTTCCATTGGTTGATTATTCTCACTGTCAGATCCTCTATTGGGTTCTTACAGAGATAATGTGTGTGCTTAGAGCTATACATTGTGGATTATATGTTGTAGAGTGCAATTGTTGACCATGGCAGAGACAATTTGGGACAAGATTATTTTCTGATTCCCCTCTCCCTTAAAAAAAAGTTAGAAAAGTTGCCTTCATATTAATGAAAATTCATATTGCTGAATTTTGTCCCAAATCCTCCTGCAATTTCATTCCAAGGCATTC